TAAAGTGCAATCAAGAGCTACAAATGGAATATCCAAATTCGAAGAGAATTCCGTAAAATTTTCGAGAATGTTCTTTCCACAGATAAAAAATCAAGAGCCTTTTCGAAATTTCGTATAAGAAATTGGATTTCGTACCAATTTTTACGTCTATGCCACTTCTGCTAATCTCAATTTTGTTCATTCTTTGAGAAGCTCGGATAGGATCTATGATGTTTCGTGTTTGCAGGTGGTTGTTTATATTTCTTGCGAAGATCTTTTAGATCCTAAAAAATGGAGTCTTCGTCATGGATCAAAATTGTACCTGAATATCGCTGCACAGAGACTCTTCAAGAAACAACAATGATAATTCGACATATGCTTCCGATAGAAAAAACAAGGGATCTAAGGATTTTATCCTGAGTTGTGGTGATGCAAAATCTTAGCGAGATTATCAGAGAGAATACTAGCAGGTTTAAATCCTTGATGGATTACAATGAACTTCAAACAAAGATTTAAGGAATAAAATGATGAACTCTGTCGGACTCCTAAACTGAAAAAGTCGTGACAAGGTCTCATTTTCAATTCTGTTAGAAGGATATCGAATCTGTGGATGACAAATGTCAAAACCTATCTCTTTATTTTTGGAGAAGCTTAAGGATTCAGTATGCATTTTTGAGGATGCTTTTCACGTCGTAGGACAAAATTTCGGATCACATGACTTTTTGGATCATGAATGCAGATCTGTTGAAGCATCTCCTAAATATTTGCATGGAGTATATCGGTACGATTTCACTACCAGTTTGCCAACGTGTGTGAAGCTCTTCGNAAGAAAAACTGTAAGAGTCAAGTTTTCGAATAAGAAAGCATTGATCTTCAAAAATGATATAACCTATGAGTGATGCAATAAGGATATTTCGTTATCTTTCTTTTCAATTCTCATAAGATTTTAGATGAATCGAGTTTTACAGATATTTCAATATACAAAAGACAAAAGGAAACTATTTTGAGAAAATTTCGGATCAGAATAATAATGAACTAAGAACAAAACAATTAAATGTTACCCAACACTTTTATGAATTTTCAAGATTCGTTTGACGAATGAAATCTCCTAAATAATTAATCGCTTTCCAGTCAAAACGGTGCATATAATGTATATTTTAATGAACTATAAATACCCTGAAAAGAATTCGGACCGTTCGCTTACTCATACAGGAACACTATTTTTACAAAAATTTTTAATTCAATTCTGTGGTTCCCCTCAGGAATACTAGGAAAACTCATTTTTGAATTTCAACTTGAAACTTTGCGTAAAGACAAGTTTTGGTGAAGATAGTTTATTGTGAAGGTTTCAGATCTTTGGATGTGTTCCTATCCTGAAATACATTAAGGCCTACATCTGTGGTGATTTTCAAGTTGAAATATGAAAACGATTTCACTCAGTATTCCTAAAGAAGATCAAAGCATTGAATTAAGACATACCATAAAAATACAGTATCTTTGCAGCAATAAGCTAAGAACCTGAAGTTTTTTCAAGATATCTAAAGCTCATTATGGTCAACATAATGCACATAATTTCGACTCGGAAACAATTAATTAATGGGGGACTTACCATCATAAACCAATTTATTTTAATACTATTTGTTTTTATTATCACTTGTTGATATCTTTTAGCCTTTTCTCGATTTACATGTCAAAAACATTTTAAGAAATGTGAGAATAAATCAAACAGATTAAGAATTCGAAATAGATTTCTGGATCTAGAAAATTTGCTTTTATTCATCATTGAATATATTTAGGCACTCGTTGTTTTCAATTTTTTAATGAAAAAAAAACTTGGTTTGATGCTCGTATTCATTGTCATAAATATAAAGCTGATCTAGTTTATATTAATAAGTGACCATCTTCTACATTTCTTCTCATTGATAATATCACTCATTCATATTTCAAATCCGAAAACAAGTTTATTAATATATGGGCAACAGCTAATCCGAATTTATATGACAATGATAAATCAGGTTGTTTTACAAAGTTCACTTTTCAATATCTATATATCTGGTTTATTCAAATACTTTTTTTTTCTAGTTTTTACCGATCGTTTGTTCAATTATTTATCTGAAAATATTATGGAAATATTTTGCGTATCATTGATCAAATACTCCAAGAAACATGTATCTAATGAGAATAATTATAAGCTGTTGAATGAAAATAACAAAACTAAAATATGTGTACAATGGACACCTTGGAAGTTTCATGAAGCATATATTTGCCGTCTTGATTCTAATACTAAATGCTTATCAACAAATCCTTTTGTTTGTGAAAGAAGTAAATCATTTAAAAACAACTTGAATTATTTGAAAAGACAAAACTATATCATTTAGCTGAACTCAGTTTATCGCATACTAAAGTATCAATGAGTAAGTTTATAAAAAGATTATGTACATTTGTTCTGCAAATATTTGATTAATTTCTCTCTAAATTCACTCTCCAACAATGGAAGATTTTGTCGAGGATTTGTTTTTTCGATTGGACTCAATCGAGATCAATTTGAGATTATTTCATTAGTTTTGATAATCAAACAATAAAAACAAAGTTTAACCTTATTCTGATTTGAATAAATCCAAAATCTACAATATTTTTGTGTTTTAATAAAATCATGCTCTTTCACGCGTTCTTATTTTTATCAAACTTAGACATAGAAGTTATACTCTATCAAGTTATGAATCAAAGCGATAGACATGAGATCATTGATAGATTGCTCATACTAATTTATTTTAAATTTATCATACATTGAGTGAGGTGATAAAGGAAAACTATCAGAACAAATATTTAAAAATTTTATTGAGATATGAATATTCAGATTCAAAAGAAATGTTTTCAAAGTTTTATATTGTATTTTTAGTCTTTAACCATTTTATTAGATTCTTAATTTTATACTATGACATTTGTGGAAAACTAAATTATGAAATATTGTCCATTAAGATGAAGTTAACATTTCAAGCCCAAAACAAAACATATTTTATGTTTGAAATATTAGACTTTCTAAAAAAAAAGCATTATATATGAGAGGAAATTGCGTCTCTTTAACATTCAATATCTATTTTGAGCCTTGAATATCTGTGATCAAAATTCTAGATTCAGTTTCATACTTTAATAGTTCATAAAGTTTTTTACAAACTCGAAATTCAATTTTAAAAAAAATACAATCTAGGTCACATCTAGTCTTTTCCAGCAATATAAACCGATATAAATCCAAATAATAAAAGTGAGAGTGGACACGATGAATATGAAAACGAATGATATTCAGAAATAAGGTATAGTACAAGGTACAGAAGTACCACAAATATGATGTGATTCTCTTTTCCTACGAATTAATCAAAACTAATCGTTGTGACTTTACCAGTTTTACCGAATGATTTAGAATAAGCAAGCTGATTTTGTAGTATTTCTCACATACAACCAGGTTCAGTACATTGAGATTTGATGATTTTTGCTTCTGGAAACGCGACATTGAAGGATCGGCCACAGATTCTCGCTTGAACTGAAGTTGAAAGTGTTTGAGGATTAGTCGATCGTTCCACATGCTTCCTTACGTAAAAATTGTTTCATTGCTTAAGTTCTACATTCGAGACTTATGTCTTGTTTCAATCCGGAAAATAGACAAAGTTACATTTTGAAGTTGTAGGTGAAATGACCGAAACTGGTTGGAATGTAACAATGGTTGTCAATATCTTTCTGAATGACTATCAGTCGATCTGAGTCATGACAATAAAATCACTCTATACCATGATTATCTCTCTGTTCTTCAGAATTCGCTTGACATCAACTCTTGAGTTCTTTGGCCATCGTCGAATTATCTTTCTAAACACTTCGTGGGAGGCTCTACCAATGGACATTTTTCGACTTCAATTTTCTCCTTTATATTGAATTAGTCCGTTGACTCTAGCGTCTCCTTCTGCTTCCGCATGCTAACATTGGATCACGTAGAACGAAATACTCAATCAGCCAGTCTCTTCGAGTTGGTGTTGTATCTTCCACATGAATGCATGCTCACCTCAATCATCAAAAAGTTCTGAGTCAGTGTTTTCGCTGTTGTCTCATTCTTTCATCGAATCAACTCATCAAGGACTTCATACTCAACGATACTGATATTGCGAGATCGATCATTACTATAGATCTTCTTAAGCGGTATCCTGTATTCTTCTTTATAAGCGATATTGTATTAGACAGTCGAAAAAATGATCTCTATCAGACAAATAATTGTGATAGGAGATCGAATGCTGCTTTCCTAGTACTGTAAAACAGTTTACCGCTTCGCTTGCATCGAAGTAAGATGTCATTATCGACACTCTTTCTCTAAAAGTATGAACGTTCACAAGAAGTCATGATTTACATAGGTACATATGAACTTTCTCGTATCTTCTACAAAGTTCTAAAAATTTCGTCCTACACCTTCCAGAAAATTTGCTTATTTGACAGCAAGGACTTTTGTACCTAAAATTTTCTTTTCTCTTTTTGTAAGATACAACTACTGCTGAAATTTCATATTTAATAGTAATTGGTTCGATTTCCATAATCATTGTAATTATTCTTTTTACTTTTTTTCTATTATACATTATGCAAAACGAACCATCAAAAACTTCAATTGATTATGATGATAATAATACATATCAATTAAATTCATCTGAAACTTTTTAATCTAACATTTTCTGCAATGAATTGTGTTTTATTTTCTTTTTAATGACAAAATCATTCACAAAAATAACAAAAAAGAAAAAAAAGTCATGTTTTACAAATACTTTTTTTTCAATATTGTTGATAATGAATGTTACACAAAAAAAAATTCAAATAAACAGTAAACTACTTTTCATGCAATGTGTATGCGAAACAAAGAAAGAATACTTTTGTTTTTTTTCCTTTTCTTAGATATATCTTCTGCTCATAATAACAATTCCAATCAACACACACACGCGAAAAAAAACAAACAAAAAAAAAAAAAAAGAACATACAAAATGATATAGTCTTTAAACAAACCACATTTCATTTTCCATTTTTGGATCAAGTACCATTAATTTTGTTTTAATATCATCAATTGAAACACTTTCAGCATTTTCAACAAAATCATCATCACATTCTTGTTCATGATTATCATCAAAATCAAATGTACGTGATGCATATGCAGCTAAATGAGCATAGTGAATTGGTGCTGGGATTGAAACTGCTTTTGAACAGCGAGCATCTGTATGGCAAAGCTAAAAAAAAATAAACAAAAAATTTATTCAAAAGCTGTCAATGTAATCCCTCTGGAATTAAAATGTGAAACATGATGTAGTTGCTGTTGTTAATAACATGGAGATTGTTTTTCTTTTCTATCTATCTTGTGATACATTTCTGCATCATCTTTTGACTTAATGCTTCAGAAATACAATAAGAAAATAGTTAATATATTGCAACGAACTATTATTGATATATCGATTTCTACCCTATATAATTCAACACTTCTTTTAGATCGTGTTTCACAAAATGATAACAGAAAAAAAAACGAAAGAAGAAATTATACCCAATATGTTAATTGTTGAATTTCATCACTTGTAAAACCAATTTCATCATGAAGAACATGATAAAGAGCTGGACGAGATGTTCCCATACTAAAAAAAAATATTAAAATTTATCTTAAAAGACAAATTTTCAAATGAAAATATTTTTACAGTGCTGCTTGTGAACATAAATAAAAATCAAATTGTGATGGATGAGTTATTTGTTGATCAACAACTGTTCCAGCTTCAACATTTTTTGTATTTTGTCCATCATAAGCAAAAAACCGTGTATTATGTCTTTTCTTTACAATAATAAATGTTAATTTTGGTTGTGTTCGATTAACATAAATAGCTTAAGAAAAAGAATGTTTCATTTTTTTTTTTTTTGAATTTTTTTCTTTTACTTCGAAATGCTTGTTTTATTTTAGCAACTTCATTATCAAGTACTTTTTGATATTGACCATCATCAACACCATCACGATAGAATACAATTTTATTTGGTAAACGATTTCCACATGAACGAGCAAATAATTGAAGTAATTCAATAATCATTTTATCTAAATCTTTTATTATTTCCATTGAACAACGACCCAATTTTGGATATTCTGATAATTTAAAAAATATATTTAAAATTATAAAAAAAACCTATTTAATAAATTAACATACGTTCACAAAGCCGAGCTGCATAAAGAGAATTTGTTGGATCACGTGAACCAACAACTGCTGCTATAGATGGACGTTCAGCTGAACAAGTTGTATGTGTCACCTAAGAAAATACAAATATTCACTAAATAATCTACCTATAGAATTAACAAATATAGGTTTTTATCACATTATCAATTCTACATTCACCTTAAATTCTTTAATTTGGTTTACTATCATTCGGAACAATTGTGTTTTGATCAGCAAAATTATCTAACTTCAAAACAATCACCAAGAGGACCTCATCAGTAATCTCCATTCACATCCATTTTTATCAATAATAAATTAGATGATTACAAATAGTGTCATCTCATTTTTATATCTATACTTGAATCAGACACTCAATACATAGTAAATAACTGATAAAATCATGAATTAATTGAAATTCATAAGATAATTAAATTTTCTAAAAATGTTACCGTCGGACATATGTCAAGGTTTGAAAGTGATTAATTATTCTTTCAAAATACATTCAAAGTGTTTTGAGTACAAGTAACGATTTAAAGAATTTTTACTACAATTCAATTTACAATGTAATTACAAAAACAGCATGCAATCGATTATAGATTGAAGAATACGCTCATGTTTTAATATATAACGTTAAGATATTTGTACAACTACTCACACCTACATAGTTTTGTTTTCAATTATGTACATTGTTTACATTAGATGTAGAATAAAAAACGAGAAATTTATCTATGTCTATACATATAATATCACGAATAACTTACATCAGCTCCAAAAAACATGAAAAGATCTTCATTTGATGGTCGACTGAGAGCAGCTTTAAGATTCACAACTCCATTAATACAACCCATTTTTGCATTAATTTTTTGACTTAAATTTTGTACATCTTAAAAATAAAAACAAGTAAAAAAAACAAAATCTCTTTTTATTCATTCTTACACATATCAAGTTTACTAAGATTTCTTTCTAATGCTTGAAAACTAACACATTGTGTAACTAAGCCATAACGTTGATTGCCACATTGTTTAACATAATCATAAACATTTTCTAATGTATTATTAAGTACAATAATTGATAATTGCCATTTATCTTTACTAGCATTATTTAATGATGTTTCTATATCACCTCTATTAGCTGGTTTAGCTATTGTTATTGGTTTAGATTTTATTGTTATACCATAACGTTGTAATAACTAAAAGACAAGAATATTTATCTTCAACAAACACAAAAAAAAAAGAATTTTACTGGTGGTAAACGATTTTCAAAATCTTTAAGTGTTTGAATAATATTTTCATTTGGTTTTGAACCGAAATAAATCATTCCCCATTTATTAATATCACGTGTTGTATAAAAACGATTACGTATTGCCCATTTACCAAAATTAACACGTTCAGTTATTTCAGAATTACCTTGACCACGATATTTAACTTCAGGTGGTGGTAATATTCGAGCTTTGACTTTAAGCATTTCATTTGTTTCAACTTTAATATTTAATTCTTTTAAATATGGATCTTTATCAAATTGACGATCGTGTACAACATTCATTATTTGTGCGTAACGTTGATCAGGTTTAATAACAGATTTTTTTGTTACTAATGCTCTTTGTACACTATCTAATGGTTTTAATGAACGTTCCCATGGAACAAGCTAAAGAAAGAAAATATATATATTTTTGAAATTCTTGAAAGTTTTGCGTTTTTTTTGGTTTGAAAAACATACTTTAACTACTTCCATAGGTAACCAATTAGCTCGTTTTTGACTACCACTCATTCCATCAATACATGGTAAATATGGATATTTTAATGTTTTGTATTTTTCAGCAAAAAAATCTGCAACACTAATTTTTTCACCTAATGATGCATCACCAGCATCATCATTAGCACCACGTACAAACATTATTTGATTTGCTGGTAAACCAAATCCACGTATACGATAACGAATATCACGACCTGTATGAAGTGTTTCAACTAAAACAAAGAAATTATTGAGCTAAACTTTTATATTTTCATTGTTTTTTTTTTGGTAACATACTTAACATATTACGAACAATACGTTTAAAACCTTGTAATTCACCTTCATTTAAACCTTTTGTTATATCTTTACGAAGATATTTAGTTGCAAATTCAATAAAATTTAATGGCATATAAAAACAAGTAAAAGCAAGATTCATATTTAAAGTAGGACCACATTGTGTTAGAAAAAGTGCTTGATAGAAACCACTTGCCATACCACGACCATCACCTAGAAAAAAATCATTCATAGAAGTCAGAATGTTTTAACATTTAAAGGAAATTTTCTATAAGTAACTAAAACTATATATTAGTCAGTAATATCATGAAGTGAAATCGAACAAGACACATTCCCTGTATAGTAAATTTTTTTTGTTTATACTCAGCTCTGATATTAATCTCAATGAAAATTTGCTAATTGAGACTCATGTTGTTTTTATTTTGTCAAGTTATAAGAATATCTAAATGAGACTAAAATATACTATAGATCTGACCAGTACTGACAGGAAAAGAAATCCTTCTCAGTTACTATGTTGTTTCGATGCATGTTCAGTGTTTTATCGAGTACGAGGGTGGAGCGGGCAGCGTCCCTTCGAAAATCCAGTTGGTGCTGCCGGAAGAGAAAATCTACGTAAAACACTGAGTATGTCTGCTTCAGTAATGTAGATTTTGCATTTTAAATAAAAAAAATCATTTAATAATAGAGATCTCCAACAAAAATAATTTTAAGCAAAGGAGAAGAATATCTTGCATAGACAAAAAACAACTATACCACAGAGTTTATGAATAATCCATTAAATGCATTGTGCTACAAACTGTACTTGTTAAGAGATAACAATATAGATAAATGAAATCTAGTGAACTACAAAGTATCCCAAAAGTTTTCTCTAATTAAGTAAAATAATATGAATTATTCTATCATTTCTGATATTCATATCTCATTGGACTCTTCTGCTAACTAATCAATTCAGAAATCGATTACAATCTTTAGTAATCAAAAGTTTGTAAAGTTCTACATTCATTTATTGTTAACTCAATAATTCAACCATAGAGTATTGTCTAAATCTAGAGTAGCTAATAGGACTAATATTCAAACCATTGATCTTTTCTTTCAATAGTATTGCAGTTATATTTGTAGGTTAAAGTTAAAGAGAAAAGAAGATAAAGCTTTCTATAAATGAATACGTACCAAGATCATCAAGTTTTTGTTTTCGATCATAAAATTGATTTCTAATTGCAATAAGATCATTTCTTGCTCCTTGTTTAAATAATGTTTCAATTATTCTAATACATTCTCTTGGTCTAATTGAAGTTTTTTTTTCAATAAAATCATAAATATCTCGAATTTTTTCTTGCCGTACAAGATCAATAATATGTAATTGAAATGTTTTATCTTCATTATTCATTTTAAATGTTATTTGTAATGGTTTTGTAAAATCAGTTAATAATTCTTTTGTATAAATTGTTTTACCTTCATCATACCAAATAACAGGAAAATTTTGTTCACGTTTAGCTATACGTTGTACAGTTTCCCAACGTTCATCTTTACGTGCTAAACGTGGTTGTTTATCCCGTCCAATCATATATATTTCAATATCATATTGATTTATAATATTATCATCAACTTTTAAACGAAAATGATTTGTATATACATCAATTGTTTTACCAATATTACCACCTTGATCAGGACGACAAACTGGTGTTAATACAGCTGATTCGGGTATAGCTGAATGTAAATATGATCGTCGATTTGACGGACGTGCACTTTGAGAACGAACTGTTGGTTGTGATGTTGAAGCATCTAATGACAGTTTTTCCATTGCTTCACGTGGTGTTGGATATGCACTTGATGAACGTTCATTTAGAACAACAGCAGCGGGTTCCGACGCTGCTGCTGGTGGTGGTGGTGCACCCCAAGCTGATTTTTTTGGTACTGCTGAAGTATTTACACCATTTGTATTTGTAGATTCTATATTAGTTGGCTTTGAATCAGCACGAGCTATTTTATAAAACACAAACATGTAACATATAATTTAAAAAAACAACAAAAACAAAAAGAAAGAACTACCTTGTCTTTTTCCCCAAGCAGACATGTTAAATGTATGAAAAAATAGTTAAATAACCAGATATACGATAACCTGACTTTCGTAATCTTGATTTAAATCTTTAATAAAGATTGTGATATATAAATGTGTACCGACTGTATTCAGAAGGTATCTGAAAAAAAGAAGAAAAAAAACAAATATGTCGTTACATTCTCTACTGATAAGTAAAAAATATGCTTAGGATTATGTATAAACTTAATAAACTGAATATATATTCAGAAAAAGTGAAAAAAATAAGTTAACAAACATTGTATATATAAGAATATTTTTCTCCAGTGCGATCACTTGTTTGCAGAATGACTATATGATTAAAGTGAATCGACGACGAAGAAAAATAAGAATAAGAAAAAAAAATGAGGCGACGAACGAAAATAAAGCCTTGTAGAAAGAAAAGAGAAACCATAAACTGGGTATTTTTGTTTTTTTATGAAAATCATTGTGGCTAGAGATATTGATCTGTTATGAAATGAAAGTTTTAATATTTAAGAAAAGAATATAAAGAAAGCTTTAGAAATGAAAAGAAAAATATCTATAAAAGTGAATATCTTTGTTATTTTTATCTATAGTTTACATAATTTTTAATGTTGTTTACAATTTAACCTCAACACGTGCTGTGTCACACCTGCTACTCTTATACAAAAGAACGATAACTAATGAAAAAATGACTTAACTATGCGAATGGTTTCTTTTTTGATAAAACTTTTGATTATCGTCAATCATTTATTTCTATATGGGAGAAAAAAAAACTCATCTATCAATAGCTAATTACTTATTTATACATGATTCATCTAATTTTTAAACAAATATGTTAAATTTACACATCTATCAAAATATATCTAAATTTACTATCGAATAATTGTCATTATGATTTAGATATATGATAAGAAACATTTGTTCAAAGAGATCATTAGATATCAAACATCAAAACTTTGCACTTGATAGATTGATTAAGATTATAATATTTTCATTCTATGCGATATGCATCATTGGTTATAGTCTCACTATAAATTCTAATGAAAGTATATTATTTGCGTTCTTTATATATCTGTTGTATCGAAGTTACACCTGCCGACGAAGTTATAGCTTCATCAACAATGCTGACGAAGTTATAGCTTCGTCAACAATGCTGACGAAGTTATAACTTCGACGGTGACGTCTGACGAAGCTACAACTTCGACAAAAAATAATTGTCGAAGTTACTTCCATAAGCTAAATACTAAATGAATATCGGTTAATTGAAGATATTAAAAACATTATGTGAAATTAAATTCATTTTTCATTTTAAAAATACTTTTATAGTATTTTTTACAATAGTCTATAAAACTATAGATCCATTCTGATAGCATCCTGATGAGTAACTAATGAAAGAGATCTATAGAATATTATCCTCTGATGTAAACAATATATACGCGTAGAATTGGTAAAGTTCTCACAATGTCTTTTGACTCGAGATCTTTTCGATTTTTACTGTGATCCACGATTTTTATTTTGGTATCAAATTCATGAGTAAGAATGAAGATAAGTGAAGCGTTTAATTGCAAGAAAAAACCAAGACAATATTAAAACGAAAAAATTAGTTCAGGATGCAGAATATGCGTACTCCAGACTTTTTTTTCTAGCGTAGTTCAAGGATGTAATATGCTACAACAGGTAGATTTGATTTTTAAATATAAACAACAGATTTCAAAATATAAGTATTGGTGACACCTCACTGATAGTGTCCCAAAATTACAAATCGCTCTTATTGCGATATCTACTATTTTTCGTATTATATTTATCTAATATACTTCTTCGTGAGACTACTATCATTAATGGAATTTATATTCAACTGATACATACAGCTAATACTGAAACTTATTTTAAAAAAATCCAGTCATGTGAAGTTTTTGTCCGACTCTATTAAGCGTTTGACATTGCCGTTGTATATAGTATTTTTCCTATTATCATGAAGCATTGTTTACCTCAGAGGATAATGTTCTATAGATTTCTTTCATTAGTTACTCATCTGGATGCTATCAGAATGGATCTATAGTTTTATAGACTATTGTAAAAAATAATGTTCGACTTTTGTGAATAATTTTTTCAATGCTTCTTTGTGAAAAAAATACTACAAAAGTATTTTTAAAACGAAAAATGAACTTAATTTTACATAATGTTTTTAATATCTTGAATTAACCGATATTCATTTAGTATTTAGCTTATGGAAGTAACTTCGACACAATAATGTGACGAAGTTATAACTTCGTCGACCGGTGTAACTTCGATACGACATATGCATGGTTTTTATTATTCTATCTCGATTGATTTAATTGATGAACTCTTTGTCAATCTTGATTAATTACATTCAATCTAAAAGTTTTCAATGTGTTGCTTTTTTCAAAATTGAATTGATTAAAAAATTGTGAAACGTTTATCATAGATATTTTGTTTTGATTCTGATACAGCAAATTAGCAATTGAAACTATCAAGAAAATGAAATGCATTTTGAAATTGTATTAGATCTACGAGCATGAATATAGAAGATTGATTTTATTACATTTATAAGAACAGATATAGAACATATATGAGTGATAAACTCAAAAAGTTTGGATCACATTCTACTAAATTAAGATTATCACAACTTTTCAAAGATTATAGAAAAAGATAGTTTTGAGAAATAATCGAAATTTTTTAATTTTTAGAGAAACAATTTTTTCTAATATTTAAAATTCAAAGCACAAACAATTTTCCCGTAATGGGTACGCAAAAATACTTAGGACAGTCCAAAAATAGTGGCAGTGACATTTTATTACCGTAGAGCAAGCTTTAGAAAACTTTCTTTTTGTATGCAGGGATAGTACAAACGATGTTCTGTTTTTCTATGATGTTCGATCATGATTCAAATAATATCATGATATTATAATTTTAATAAGATCTATTTTTCTGTCATATGTGACGGCTATACCAATGTCTTTTTAAAAGGCAGAGGGGATTCTTTTTGGATAACTTCTGATAGAAAAGAGATAAAGAAGTGCGAGGTTCATCGTTCGAAAGAACAGGAAAAGATTCATCAAATCGTAAATGATACGTTTTTTTGTAATATGATGTTTTTAAGATTTTCAATCAATCTCTTTGAAAAGAAATGTACCACGTGACATGTTCAGAGCAATTTTTTCAATTGTCGCATGTATATTCAAATCAGCAATGGAAGATCTACAAAACTGCACAATTGTTAGATGTTTAGAATTAGTTCTTTATGAGTTATAGATATTTTAGTCAAAGCTCTAAATAATTATTCTAGCCATTTCTGTAAACATTGTTTTTTTTTTGTTGTTTTCTTTTTGATAAAAAACAATTTTCTTCCACACTTAGAAAAGCGATTAAATAAACTTTAGACAACATACTAGGAAAACGTATAATATACGATTCGATGCGTCCTCTTTCCCTCTTTTGAACGATGAAAACTGCAACTCTTTATCTCTTTTTTATCAGAAGTTATTTAAAAATATCCACTTTGCTTTTTAAAAAGGCATTGGTGTAACTGTCACATATGATAAAAAATAGATTTTATCGAAATTTTATTATTATAACATTAGCTGAATAATGATTAAATATCATAGAAAAATAGAGCATCATTTGTACTAACTCTGCAATTAAAAATGAAAGTTTTCTTAAGCTTATTGTACGGTATTAAAGTGTCACTGCCACTGTTTTTGAATTGCCCTAAGTAAACAGCGAATTTCTGACGATTAGATGAATATCATCCTAGCCTTCCTACGGTGAGCCTGAGTCGAGAGTCGAAAATTTGGAACCTAACGAGTTCTACCCTGGGTTTAGAACAATCCGATTTAACTGTATATATATTTCTATTAAAATTATCAAACATATGTCATTAATATAATGAATAATATATTTAAAAATAAATCATTTTAAAAATAACATTTTTTTATCAAAGAAGAAGAAATTCGAAAAGTTCTATTTTTTTTTCTATATGAAGTTCATTTTTATTATCTAGAATATAAAATACAATAATCACGCACGTATATAGCTTTATGGTCGAAGAACTCGTTTAGCAACATTTCGAGCAGATTTTTTTGTTCCACCTTGTTTTGAATCTGTATTGCCAGTTGTTATATTTGAAAGATTATGTAATGAATTAAGATAATTATCGTTTTCATTATTATCTCGTTTTGAACTTCCACCTGAATGTTGTCCTTGTAAATCAATAATTTTAATCATTGATAACATTTCTTTATTATATTTATCTTGTTCATCAACAGATTTTTTCTTTTTTTCATTAGCAATTTTTGCTTCATGTTTTAAAACATTTAATAAATTAGCACAATTTAAACACCATTTATCAAGCATATTTTCCATACGATTAAATGCTATTGAATTTACATCACGTGCAATAGCATATTCAACATTAAGACGATTATTTAATTGATCTAATTTTCCTCTTATAACTTGTGCATAAATTCCATCAATAATTAAATCTTCAAGTTCACGTATACTTTCAATTTGAAGTTGTTTTAATAAAAGTTCATAAGGTAATATTCGAGCATGTATAGCAAGTGAAGCTAATGTTAATAATTGCAATTTACGACGTGCCAATGGAGATAAATTTAGAAAACGTGAACGTTGTAATTCATAATCTGATATTGTTCCATAGGCAAATAATTCTAATGTTGATAAAACAAGTGGATGATCTTGTTTAAGAGAATTTACAAGTGATTCAAGACGAAGAAATTCATTGAAACCATATATATCCTGATGTTCAAGAACACGAGTTACTAAATCAACAGCAGATGAACCACGAACTGATTTAGCTAATAAAAGAAATTGTTGAGCAGCTGCAGATGACATCTAAAAATTTATACAAACGTTTACATGAGTGACGCGTCAATCAAATTGATATTTTGCCCATAAATAAGTCTTGTGAACTTTAGAAGACTCGGAAAATTTTAGATCAAAAGGATGTGCTCGTCTTGAGATATTAAATATTCAAA